CTCGGGGGGGCCCCTCCGGGGCCCCAAGGGGCCCCCGAGGGCGGGGGGCCCACCCGTGTTTCGCGGTCTACACGGGCGGGCCAGTCCGCCCCTGCCCGCACCCGAGATATGAGCGATATTAAAACGCAACGCTCCCATTTTATACATTTTCATCTTTGGCGCGCGGCCCGCCCCGGGGCGGCGTCTCGTGTTACGTACTACCCGCTTCGTCGTGCAGCTGCCGGCCCCGGCCCTTCTCTCCACACGCCCATTCGTTTGCCCTTTCACATCCAGCTGCTCCCCCCCATCCCCTCTCTCGCCTCCTTTCGGTCTCGAAGAAGACGACGATGCGGATCGCAAGCACCACCAGCAGCAGGGCTATGCCTCCTGCTCGCGCGCATTGCCACTGCATTCCTCGTTGCATCGCATCTTCGAGGTGCCTCGAGGAGAGGGGTGGTGATGCGATGCGGCCCGCGGCTCCCCTCCGCCCTCAGCGAGCGCGTCCATTCCTACGCTGATGGCGACCACCTCGGCGGCGCCCGGCCTGCGGTACGGCATCAGGCTGGAGGAGATGATATTTCCACCCGACAGACAGACAGACCCACCCGGGCGTCGCGGTGTGCGTGATGGTGGTGTTGCTCTGCAGGCTGCAGGAGTCCACTATCCCCCTCCCCCAAGAAGCCCCTCGCGCTGGTATAGCCAGGCATTTCCGCCAGACTCGCGCGATGGAGTGCTGCAGGCTGCAGGAGACTGTATCCGCCAGACTGCGTACCTACAATAACCCTTGACCCTTTTGCTCTTGTGTCCGCAGGTTGGCCAGAGATGGCGCGCGGCGGCGGCGTGTCCATCCCCGGGCTGCAGGGCTCGCTGGGCGCGCACATGGGCGTGGACCCGGCGCCCCCCGTGGAGGACTACGACACCAGGGACGACTACACGGATGACTACGACGACACCACCAACACGTAAGTGCACCGCAGTGTACACGTGGTGTAATGCAAAGGCACGGCCCTTTATTTTTCTGTCGTTGCTTGATTTTTTTCTGATTTTTCGTTGATTTTGTATTTTTATTTATTTTGGAGGGTGTACGCCCATTTTTCGTTTTTAAGTGAAGTACCCATTGGTGTACTGTGGGTCAGTAGGAAAGATAGCTCCAAAGTGCTGAGCATGAGCAAACCGGGGGGTTTGCCGCCGTGGAGGCAGGGGCTGGGCTGGGTGGGGGTGGTGTCGGCGCAGGGAAGGGGTGTGGTGTGGCGGGGGTAAGTTCATTTGGTTGCAGCCTGGCGTAGATCCATCATGATGTGACAGATGTTTGCAGCACAGCCCTCCCTGGCACACTGTGAAGTAAAAGGGGTCGTGCAGAGCGCGTGAAATCGGCTGGCCGGGTGTGCGGGTGTGCGGTACAATCCGTTCGTCCACTCCATTTCTTCGGGTATCTTGTCGTGTGTGGGATTTCGCGGCACCTCCCCTCGCAGCGGGGCCGTTCCGAATCAACCTGCTCTCTCTAGAAGAAACTAAGCGTGTGGCATTACCGCCCAACGCAGCTCGTGCCTTTCTTTCTTTCTTTTTTTTTTGTGCCGTTCCCCCATCCTGCCTTCTGAATCGCCCCCCCCCCTCTTCCGCCATCATTACCTGTCCTCCCTCTCCCGCACGCGGGAGTATTCGAAACACGAAAGTATTTTCTTCCTCGAGAATCCTACATTTTTTACCCAATCACCCCGACCCCCCATTCCCCTCAACTAAATAATTATGCTGTTGATTTCAAGTTGAATTACGAAGAAGAAGTTAAAGTAGTGATTCGGCATTGAATGGAGCGAGCTGCGCCTGTGACTTGACGCGGCCTTTTGTCCGGCAGGTCTGAGACGGCGTCCTCCGGCGGCGTGGCCTCGCGCCCCGGCGCTGCCCCAGGGACGAGCACCACGCCGCAGACCAAGACGCACGTGGCCCCGGGGACGGGGTCTCCGAGCGGCGGCGGGGGCGGCGCCCACTCCGGGGGCGGCAACGCCCTGGAGGCGGGCGCGGGGGCGGGGCCCACTGCGGGGCCTTGGCTGGAGGTGTCGCGACCGCTCGTCAACGTGACCAAGGAGACGGGCGAGTCTGTGCGTCTGCGGTGCGAGCTGACCGGAGACCCGCCGCCACGCAAGGTCCGCTGGTACAAGAACGAGGCCCCCGTCCAGGAGGAACGGAACCGCCTCGTGACCCGCCGCTACCAGGTTGAGGTGAGTGGCTCGGCTCGGCCGAAGTGCTCTCGTTGTCGAGGATTCTCGTCGGGGTTCCTTAATCAACTTGCTGCTCGCTTGCTCCTACCAGGGCGGCACCCGGGGGACCACCGTTGGCTCCCGCTTGAGGATCTCGATGCTCGAGGTTCACGACAGCGGCTACTACAAGTGCGAGGCCTCGAACGGTCATTCGACAGTGGAATCTACTTCCATTCTTATCGTCAAGGTTCCCAAATGGGGTAAGTTGCATTCTAAGTTAGTTCTATTCACTCCCATTTGTTTTCACCAACCTGTTTTTATATTAAATCACTTGACATTTTTATATTACAGGTGTGATGAACGCTCCAGCTGATATCCCCCATTTTCCACCCGTGTTTGCAAATTCACACGGAAGTTTTGGGTAGGTGTGCCAAATACTCTACATCTTAGATGGATGTGAGTCTGCCCGAATTCTCAATCCCACCGTTCTGTATAGGTCCGAATGGGCCCGAATGCTCCCTCCTCTCTCTCTCTCTCTCTCTGATTCCGACCCATTCGGACAGTTATTCAGAACGGTCGGAATGAGAAGTCGGACACACTGTTTTAAATTACGCGCCTTACGGAGATACGCGCGCACTGCAAAGACGACTCTTGCGGGGCTTTTGTTCTTTGGTTCTGGAGCAGCATTCGTGAACCGTGTATAGGGACACATTTTCATTCCTGTGAAAAGAAAAATTATTCCCGGACTTTCCTTTACTTCTTTTTCATCGGTTTTCCTCCATTTCCATTCTTTTTTTATGTTCAACACCTGCATAACCTGCTTACGGGAGGAATCACAGTACACTGTAGTAGAAGGCGCTGACCCAATATTTGTGCTTTTCGCGCATGACAGTAGAGAAGTTTTGTTTCTGCTTTTGTATTTTCGTCGAATTCATTAATTTACTGACTGAACCTTATTCTTGAAGTAGTGATATTCAAGAAGTAACACTTTTTGGATTACGTAATGGTAGAAACATGAAGGGGATTCCATGGAAGTTCTCTTTGTGTTGTATAAGTCTGTTTAGCAGTTTAGCTTGCGCTCAGAATTCAACTGATATAGAGGATTACGAATATGAGAATCATGCTGGAGAAACAAAGTATGTTTTAAAGTTGTGTTATGATATATGCAGCTTTATTTAATGATTTAATCTATCCCTCATACAAAATTTCTCTCATTGTGGGTAATGTTACTTGGAACACTTGCTGTCAAAAACCTTTCAATTTATCCATAGTTTTTCTTCCAATTTCGTCTGAGGATCAGTTAACTTCTTTCTGAATTTTTTCACTTTTTTCATAGTTACACATTGAGATTGAGTGCACTTTACTGGCCTCTTTGTGTATGGTTGTTCGCATTGCATTTCAAACTGCCGTTAACCACCCACTTTTATCATTTCATCCAGGCATATTTTTCCTGTTTTCTTCAAAGCAAAGTTCTGTCTAAAATTTGATATCATCTTTTGCAGTGGTACGAATGACCATATTGATTCCATGGGCATGGGATCCATGGGTGACATTGCCAGTCAAATGCCAAGAGGGTTGCCAGGTGCAGGAGGACTACCTGGTGGACTTGGAGGCTTAGATTTGAGTAGTGGAATGCCGCATCAAACATTCACTTTATCAGGGATGCATGGATTTGGAGACACCTCAGACTCCCTTCTTCCTGAAGGCACTTCCACAGAACCTATTTGTCAGGTATGAATTTGTATTGTTTTCTCGACTAGAACTTCAGATATTCATTCTAGTTGTCTAATATTCACTCTCTATATAGCCTTACCAAGGGAATATTTGTTGGGAGTTCCTTGCCAATAAATCTGTTTATATCAGACCGACTCACAATCAACAAAATATAGAAATGATGTTGACTCGGGCATTAACCGTTGCCAATCACTCTCCGTAAGTATTACCTTGGGTGTTATTTGTAGTAATTTCTTTTCTCTGTTGGTTTTTCTTACCAATGTAATTGGTTTGGTTGTAATGGTTTTAATTGATCTTTTCCAGTGACATCACACCACAGTGTGTTAAGTTTGCTAAGCCATCGCTCTGTTACTCAGCATTCCCAGTTTGTAGGGAAAAGGTGCATGATAAGATAACCAAGCCATCACAGAAGCCTCGTAGGATATGCCGTACAGATTGTGAGCTGATAGAAAACAAACTATGCCCATTGGAATATGCTTTAGCAAAACGCAATGCTCTTGTGAAACAAGTTATGCAAGATTGTAGTGAGCTGCCACTGGCAGGAACACCTGATGATGAGGGCTGCCTCTCTCTTAACATTCCCTCTGCTGAAACTGCAGTACAAGGTGTGTATGTGGTTCCTGCTCCCGACTCCCACTGCTAACACTTTTCAAAATGTTAATATTTCTCATTTATTTTTCAGTTGTTCCACAAGATTTTATGCCATACATATTAGGTGTAGCAGGTGTTTTGGTTCTTATAATTCTTGTGGCTACTTATATTTGCTGTAGAAGACGAAGAGTTGCTGCTCAAAGCCGATTCCCAAATAGTTGTGGGAGCAAGGTACAGATTCATTTATCAACATGACTAGTTTTCCTAGGATTACATAGGACCTTATACTTTTTTCTTCTATTTAACTACTAAATATAAAATCTTGTGTCTGTTAACAGATAAATGGCTTGAAACCACCTCGTACAGCTGCTTCTCCCCTTCATAAACTTAGCAATACCAATCAAATGATGGAAATGAATTCCCTTTTGCCTGCCAATGGTACAATTGTCAGCCACAAGAGTGAACGTCCTAGCAATGGTGGAATTTTAAGGGTCAGAGAATACCAACTTAATAACATTCGTTTCATGCAAGATTTAGGGGAAGGAGCTTTCGGTGAATAAACCTACCAATGTTATTTTTTAAATCAAGAGGGTTCTCATTATGCTTAAATGGCTATTATGTGTATGTTCAGGAAAAGTCTACAAAGGGGAAGTTTTTGGTGGACCTGATGAACCTAAACTGATGGTGGCCATTAAAACCTTAAAGGAAAATGCAAGTCCAAAAACTCAGGGAGACTTTAGACGAGAAGTAGAGTTAATGTCAGATCTTCGCCATCCCAACATAGTCTGTCTCATGGGTGTAGTTTTGAAAGGAGAACCCATGTGCATGTTGTTTGAATACATGTCTCAGGTAAATTTTAACATTTCAACAAATTCATGTTATTCTTAAGTAAGCTTTTCTTTCTATTAACATTACTGTATTTTTACAGGGTGATCTTCATGAGTTTTTGATCTGTCATTCTCCTCGTTCGGATGTGTCAGCTTGTAGTGATGATGGAAGTTCTCATGTTCTTGACCAACCAGAATTTCTTCACATAGCACTACAAATTGCTGCTGGTCAGTATCAGTAAATTTACTCGATTAATTATTTTAATTTGTTCACATTATCTATCTTATCCTGGTTTTGTTTTACAGGCATGGAATATTTGTGTAGTCATCATTATGTACACCGAGATCTGGCAGCACGGAACTGCCTTGTTGGAGATAACCTTACTGTTAAAATATCTGATTTTGGTCTATCAAGAGATATTTATTCATCAGACTATTACAGGTGAGAACTAGAAACAATTTTGAATTTACATTTGTAGTTGCCTATCTTTAATTTACAGAACAATAGCTATTTCCACTCGTTGGTTCCACTATGTTTTCATTATATAAGAAATTTTGTACCACTTTTCTTATATATTTTACACATATTTTCTAATATTAATTTTCTCCTTTCCCTAGAGTACAATCCAAGTCTCTGCTTCCCGTTCGCTGGATGCCACCAGAGTCTATCCTTTATGGAAAGTTCACAACTGAGTCAGACGTATGGAGCTATGGAGTTGTCCTTTGGGAAATTTACAGCTATGGATTGCAGGTACTGTGATCTATTTTTATCTCTGCTAACGACTGGTAGTATAAATATATCTTCTTCATTTGCTGACTTTTTCAAATTTAAACAGCCATACTATGGGTACAGCAACCAAGAAGTCATTGACATGATTCGTAGCAGGCAGTTGTTACCTTGCCCTGAAGATTGCCCCTCTCGTCTATATGCGCTAATGATAGAATGCTGGCATGAGGTACCTGCAAGAAGACCCTCATTTCCAGAAATTCATGCCAGACTTCGTCAGTGGTGGGCTGGTAGCGGATTCAGCAGTAACAGTTGGGAAGCCCCAGAAAGTATGCAAGGTAAATTTTAATGTTTAATAGTGGTCATAAATTATTGTCTCAAGCTTTGTGATGATTTTCAATTACTTATTTCATATTTTCTTCAGGTGGAACAAGTAGTTGCAGTGGAAGCCATAAATCAAGCACTGGCCCTAGTAATAAGACAGGATCTACGCAATTATCCAATAATGCTGACCTGGGAAGCATAACTCCGGGTATGACGCCTTCACGTGCTAGACCAGAAACTTCAATGAGCCATCAGCTCCAAAGTCCTGGGAGGATTGGGCCTCCAGCCACTCCCCCTTTTCATCATCAAGTTATGCACCACCAGTCCTCTCAAACACCAACTAAATTGGCTAACCAAAGGCATCCACCCCCACAATATTCTCTTCACAATCTTCAGTCACATATACCTCCACCACCGTTGTCCCAGCTCAATTCCTTTGGCAAGCCTGTTGGTTCTCAGCTTATAGTTCGATTACCTCCTCCTTATAATGGACATAGTAATGCTGTTGAAACCAAAATATCTAATATCTAAACGGCTTCCTTCTTATAGGTTGTGATTCTTTCTCCACTTTTCATAGTCTGATTTCATGATGTTTTTCTTATATTTTAATTATCTTTATCAACAATTTTATATTAAAATCAAGCACAGTCAGTAATTATTTACAACTTACCATTGTGAAGAACTTGTTCTCATTTTATGAATTACCGTGAAAGTTCCCTTCTTAGAAAGGTGGATTTTATTGTTGTTAAAGGTAATCCACTTGAATGTTTATACCTATATAAAATGTGATAATTTTTCCTCTTGTTTTTAAGAATGCCATTTTGTTTTGTTTTAAAATACCACTTTAAATATTTTTAAGCATGTATAGATCTGTTTAAACACTTGGAATGATTGTAGGCAAATAGGAAGTTATAAAAGCGTATTGTTAATTGATTTGATTTCGGAATTCTTTATTGAAACATTTATCGTGTTGCTTCATTGTTATCAAACCACACTGGAAAATCTAATTGTGTGTTTTTTTATATTGTACTGCATTAAGTTGTCTATGTTAGTCTTATATTCAGGGGACATCTTTATCATTGTTTTGAGGGTTGCATTTTCTAAAAGAATATCTTGTATTGATATTATTGATTGTGTGACAACATTTTATTTTGCTTTCTTTAAACATGTGGTAATTTTACTGACAAAATCTTCTGTTCACTTCAAATGTCAGATGTCTTTGCAGTCTATAGTCACTACAAATTTTGTCAATTTTCTGTAAGAATTTATCTAGAATGTGATGCTTTTCTTTTGACTGAGAAATCCTATTTGACAATTACTCAACTGTATCTTGATCTGGATTCGTAGATTTTAGCAGTTGTATGTTATGTAGAAATACATATTCCCTATCTGTTGCGCCATCATTTTCCCTATTTTATTAATTTTTAAATGTACATTGGTTGTATTATAATAAATTGTGACTGGCACAATGTGTGTACATAAAAGATTTATGTTCTTGTAAATTTCTTGTTCAAAGTTATTGAGTGTAAAAAGTTAGTATACTGAATGTGAAATTATGGAGTACTAACTTTTCTTTCCTATAAAGTTGATATGTGTTTTCAGTAGTCTGATGAAATTGAGCATTTCATTTCATCAATTTTCTCCTCTCTCACACCTGACTTAAAGGATCAATACTGCAGAGTTGTATGGCTTTGCTCAGGAATTACTAATTAGTCTTTTTGAGTTTTTTTTTATTTATTTAAGCTGGACAACTGAGCTAGCCTTTTAACCATAGAATGAATATATTTTTACATGAAACTGATGTACTGTATGTAACTCTCTTTGTAAGTATTTATGTTTACCATCTTACTATGCTCCTGCTAATTTACTTCTAGTAGGTTGTTCAGAATGCATAGATGTTCAAGTTCTCTAGTCATTGTATTCTGTTAAATTTGCTGGTTTCTTGTGGTCCACCTTCAAGGTGAAAAGCAATTACATTGCTTTTTTTGTAGGTCTGTGCTTGTCATCCCTCTCTTACGCTCTGATTCTTTTTCTTAATTTAAAGACTGATCGTCTTCTGGGACTTCATTAGTCCTTGGTTACGTAACAAAGAACTGACTTGTGGAACAGAAAGTAAAGGATCTTTCATCAAATTTGAAATGTAAATTTAACTATGCATTTGTAATTTCATAACTGCCATGCCTAAAATTGTGTAAAACTGTATTGTGACAGACAAAAGGACAAGTTGCCATAAACCATTTTCCAACCAGAATGTATCACAGGTTTGTGGTACTTACAGTATATAATAGGTATTTCATTATTTGTAAATGAACTTGTATTAATACATGTTAATAAATGATACATAAAGATTGAAACACGTTTATCGATGTCTATTAGTTCCCTTTCATTGTGAGTAAGGGGTAAATGACAGACAATTTTTGTGCTCTGAGGTTGGAAAAAGGACCTCAAATTGGGGGCCTAGCAGAGTAGACTTGGTCTATAGTCGGGGGCACCGGCGCGCGTCCGGGACGCGGATGGTTGTCGGTTCAAATACTCTGACCTAGGCTCATTTCGTATTAAGTAGTTTTGGGCGCGAGGACCAAGGGTTAGGACAAAAGACCAGCCGACATGGGGAGGTGGACTTGACCGTCTCCTCAGCAGCCCCCCCCCCCCTCCCCGTGCCAAAAAACAACAAGAAAATGTTCGCCCCGACGAGGACTCGAACCCTGGGCTGACGGTATCTTCTGCACCAAGCTCTAGCGCGCTCGCCGCTCGGCTGTCGGCTCCACTTGTCAACGAAAAGTTCACACCTCGGTCACCTGCTTCACGTGTCTTGGTCTCCCGTATTGCACGCGTTCAGGTCGGGTCAAGTCCACCTCCTCGAAGCGCTGCAGCCCGGGTCGGATCTTGGCCCGAAACACGGAAAATGGCCAGTAAAAGAGCCCCGTGGGCGCGCGGGGGTTAGGTTAGGCCCATTTATGTAACTTTTTCCGTGTTTTTGGCCAGAATTCGACCCGGGCTGCAGCGCATCGAAGAGGTGGACTTCAGCCGACCTGCACGCGTACAATACGGGAGACCAAGACCCGTAAAGCGGGACCGAGTTCTAAACCTATCAGTGGTGAGGAGCAGCTGACAGCCGAGTGGCGAGCGCGCTGGTGTGTGGTCGGGACACCGTCGGCCTGGGGTTCAAATCCCCTTGATTTATTTAATTTTTTCGTTTAAGAAAATTGACACTCCTGACACAACGTCGGTGTGAATCCGACTAGGTCTGCAGCAATGTAAGGAGGTCGATGTCACCACCTACTCAGCAGGTCCCGAAAAAAAGTTCACCCCTAACAGGATTCGATCCCCGGGCCGACTGTTTCCGGACCATACCCCAGTGCGCTCGCCACTCGGGTGTCGGCTCCACTTGTCAACGAAAAGTTCAAACCTCGGTCCCGCTTTACGGGTCTTGGTCTCCCGTATTGTACGCTTGCAGGCCGGGTCAAGTCCACCTCTTCGACGCGCTGCAGCCCGGGTCGA